GTTGTTACCAACATCTGGTGAAAATTTCATGTCATTAGCACCTCTAGTAATATATTTACTGAGAAAAATGGTGACGTGCTCAATACTTATTTTACCTGCTGTATGAAGACTATAATTGTTTTAATTTATTTATTTTTGGAAAAAGGGGCAGATGTAAATAAGATTTTTTTTCTTCTTTCTGCTACATTTCATTTTATTTGTGATTTGGTATTTTTGTTGTATGTATAGTATTTGTTTTGTTTTTAAATTAAAATGAATAAATTTACAAAAAAAATAATAATTTGTGTGTCTGTGTCTCTGCAGAGGGAATCCCTCAGGTGTACTACTTCGGTCCTTGTGGGAAATACAACGCCATGGTGCTGGAGCTGCTCGGGCCCAGTTTAGAGGACCTGTTTGACTTGTGTGACCGCACCTTCTCCCTCAAGACTGTCCTCATGATAGCCATACAGCTGGTAAGAACAGCAGCTTTTGTGATGATGAATAAGCTTGCTRTTTACTTTGTAGGAAATATAATGCATATGGAAACTTTTATTGTTATTTGGCTGAAACTATAGGTCATAAAAAAGTAAGCAAAACAAAGGCTCCAAGAAGTCAAAAACATAACTCTTACAACATGTTTGTTCAAATTGACACGCTTATTGATAAACTATAAACAGTGTTTCCATTTTTCAAATCTAGTAGAGCTTTAAATATTTATGTGTACCAATGCACATTTATCTTTGGAAAACACTGCAGCAGTGGAGTCAAGAGTCAATTGTTTCAACATATAGTCCACTCATTCATCATTTACCAGACTTAAATTTTCTAAATGGATGTTAAAGCGCTCGCTTCTGACAGTATTATCAAATATTTATTAGATTTATTCAGCAGTAAACTGGCAGGTACAAGCAGCAGATAATGAACACAATATAGATCACAAAAAGGAAAACTTTATTTTATTTATAAACCAGTCAGAACTGGTAAGAATGAATTTGATCATTTGTAGTTGAATGAGGTTAACACTTAAACTCTAGGTTGTATTCAAAATAGATATTAAAACAAGTCTATAACAACTTCTACAACACAAATTYACCACTCTGACTCCACTGCCTAGTTTGATTGCTTTGCTCACTAGTAAATTTGCACCTTTAATCCTTCAGTGAAGAATCAATGTCTTTTGTAATATAGGCTAGGAATGGGAAGTAAATTTGGGATTTTTTTTTTTGTGGAAGTTGTTTCCCGATGGTACTTTTCCAATTGAACACAAAACCTACCAGCCAAGATAAAAAAGAAAGGAAAATAAAGGCTCAGAGCTTTCCAACATTTGTTTTTGCCGTCATAGTTTATTTTGAAAGGGTTATAAAGTATAAACTGAAGTTGTGGGTGAGCTCGTGTTGATCCATTGGACTGGCAGAAATGAGGAATTTTAAAGGTCCCCGGTTAGCAGAATCAACAGCAGCGCACGTTTCTATACCTGAAATCCATGTTTTATCAGAGGAATTTGCAGCTCCGGAGCTTGGGGTGAATACACTCTTAAGGGCTCGACACACAGCAGCGACAAACTACAGCGATTAACGGCTGTCATCGCAGCCAGGGTGAAACCCGACACACGGGACGTGATAGCGATCGCAGCGTTGCGAATCGCACTCTCAGATCGCTTGTCTTCACAAAATTTGATTGGTTCTTGACTCTGAAGGCGGGTGTGCATTACGGACGTGTAAACTAAAACAAATCTTGCGATGCTAATGATATTGAAAAACAAATGCACATCAAGATACAGTTTTATGAGGAAAAACTTACCATAAACTTCACCCTGGTGCCAATAAATTCCCACAAAGCTTTTTAGTAATCACTTGGTGAAAGTGTTAGCTAACTGCAGTGTGTAGCATACTCTCCTCTCATTGGTCAGTCAATGAAACCCTCGCTGATTGGTTGTACGCTAAGCGACAGCGACAAAAGTTGAACATTTTTCAACTTTCATATTTCGCGTCGCAAGCTCGCGTGTGCACGTCTACGTGTACGAGCGCGAAATTTCACATGCACTATTTTCGCCGGTCGCTTAGCTGGAGGAGGGCAAGCGATTGTCGCCTCACCGCACAGGTTCCATAGGAAATGAATGGAGAGCGAGCGACGTCGCCTCCCGTGTGTCGAGCCCTTTAGTTTGCACGTTAGACGGGACTTGTGGAACCGGGTCGGTTGGGTTGAATATTCAAAGAAAAACCTAATTAAAGCTGGTGAATTCGAAGAATGTCTTAAAATGTCCATCCGGATACAGACAGAAAACATAGTTTCAAAAGCAAATTAATATGAAACTTTGAACTTGACCCTTTTCCGTGTTTAGTAGATCGTGTGATCACGGCTTTTTCGGCGTTGACAATCAGAAATCTTACTKTGTCATACACTCACCTTAGTTGGACTGTAGGTGACAAAAGGGGGAAAAAAGCTAAATTTCTTTGAATGTCAGGCAGTTTTGAAACAGGAAACTGAAAAATTCAAACACTAACATCCCCCCAACTGATTGCTTCTCTAGATAACACGGATGGAGTACGTTCACACCAAGAGCCTCATTTATAGAGATGTGAAACCTGAAAACTTTCTTGTTGGGAGGCCTGGAAGCAAGAGGCAGAACACCATCCACATCATTGACTTTGGTTTGGCCAAAGAATATATAGACCCCGAGACCAAAAAACACATCCCCTACCGGGAGCACAAGAGTCTGACTGGAACGGCACGCTACATGAGCATTAACACACACCTGGGAAAAGGTGAGTATTTAAACTAAAACTGTCTGTTAATTTGGGAGGGATTAAAATTTGAAAGTACACTAACTGCACTGAAAACAAATATATTCTCAATATAATATGATTATTGTTACGATTCACAGTTAAAAAATAATTAACTTGTTGAGAGTTATTTTTCTGATCTTCTGTGACAGTTCACTACAGTTGTATCCAACCCTGGACCTCGAGGGCCACGATCCTGCATGTTTTAGATATCTTTGCTCCAACACACCTGATTTGAATGATTGTTTAATTAACACGCTTCTGCAGAATTTGAAGAGATAGTTGAATCACTGAGTCAAGTGTGTTGAAGCTGGGAAACACGTAAAACATGCAGGATAGCAGTCCTTGAGGACCAGGATTGGACACCACTGGTTTACTCTGTTGTAACTTTTAACCCCAAGTGGTAATTTTAAAGATCATTTCTTCTTTTGTAACTCAAATATTAAGTTARGTGTTTGGTTTGAATGAAAATCTACATTGTTTTTCAACAAACAAAAGCCTCCATTTTAATCACATCAAGACTTTTTTATTTATTTTATTAAAAAAACATTTCACTCCTTTATCTGAGCCCACCTTTAATACTTAATAAGCTATATTTTAATCCTATAATATTTGTGAAATTGTGTTTCACTTTCCTCTTACTAATGTACATGTGTTATAAAATTATTTGTCTCTCAAAGCAAGCTGCAAACTTTAAAATATTGTTTTTATTTTCAGAGCAAAGCAGAAGGGATGATCTGGAGGCGCTGGGTCACATGTTTATGTATTTCCTCAGAGGAAGCCTCCCCTGGCAGGGCCTAAAGGTACAGTTTTCTAGCATACCCAAAAGTTAGCCTGTATGTGTATTTATCTGTCTTGGAATATTTTAAGTTCATAACACAGCATTTTATTTTTGCACTTCAAAATATATCGTATAAAATTTTAAACTAAAATGTGTTTAGTCAGTCATTGGAATTTATTTATTTTTTTATTCCAAAAAAGGACTTTTTATTTTTGCCATACAGGAAATACTTTTTTTTAAATGTTATTATTTTTTAATAGAAACATTCCCATCCACTGTGTGAATGTAACGTTACAGTAAGATGGAGCAGTTTGTTGTTTACATTTGTCTCTGAGAGAGGAGGACGTGGCTGCAGACAAACTTGGTCGAATCTTAGGTGAAAACTAGATGTGCAGCAGAGTYCACTCAAAACATTTTCCAAGCAAAATCTCCTGATGCTCCTCGGGGAGAACACCACTTTTCTCTCCATAACCATGCGAAATAGCCGCAGAGATTGCCRTAGAAGACGATCCATTTCTCGACATGTAGCCTACACAATTTCAGAATTTGGTTGTAAAGCCATCCTAATGGCGCTGAAATCTGCAAACTGATGAGAACAAGCGACAAATCAAAGTGAGCAGAGCGCCTTGTATTTTGGTGCCTTTCGGCAAACTTCTGGTTCGGCAAAAATGAAGAAACGGTCTGTTTTCCGTTTTTGGGAGTATAAAACAAAAGAAGGAAAAACTATCCGTTTTTCTTTTTTGCAATATTGTTTTTTTTATGAAGAACAAAAAAACTATATACTAAATATATATATATTTTTAATATCTGTGTTTTAAAACAAAAATGAAATGACCAAAAGTTACACGGACCGATTACACACCACTCTCATGATTACACTTGTAGTTTAGAAAGGTTATGAAAATGATTTTTAGCTTAGTTTCTTATTGTTATAACGGCAAAGTGTGCAGATTTTAATCACCTAAAGCCAACATAATAAGATTTCATATTACCTTTAAAGCTCTTCAAAATTAATATAATCACAAATGGATTTGAAGAAACTTTAGTTTGCTCCGTTTCCATGATTACATTCAAAATACATTAAAAGGAAATTAAATTCTTACTCATCTATTAATCTTTTGTGACCAGAATCCTCTGATATTCAGCTTGACCCATGTCAGACAGCTGGAATTTTTTTATTTTTTTTTCTCTTAAGTGTACTTGTGCACTTTCCAGCACAGCACCTCCCTTCTTTTGGGAAAGTTTTTAAAAGTAAAAAAACAAGTGTAATCTAGCTAATGGCAATCTTTGGTGTGCACAGTGACATCTGACTGTTTCACTTCTTTTGAAAGCCATGATCTTTGGCCAAAAAAATCTATGGAAACTAACCAACTTTACTGGTTTTAATTTAGTTTGTACAAATATGTTAGCGGTAAACTGACCGTTTTAACTTGTTACAGTTAGGAGGAAGTGATAATCACGTGTTTTATCAGAACGCAAAACTTTTRTTCCAAAAGGAGATTTAAAAATTATAATTTTTTTGTTATAGCTTCATAGAGTTGCTGCAAATGTTGGAGCAGAATTTCCAAAACAAAAGTCTGAAAATGTCGGTCTTTACAGCTCTTTTCATTTATCTACCAGAGTTATGACTCATCAAATTTTCTTTTGTTACATAATCACATATAAACTTCCACCACTGTTTTATTATTATTATTATTATTTTATATTTTAAAAGTTGAAAGAGCCCGGAGCGCTTTAAAAGGCCACAAAGACAGGTGCCTGGATGGCAGGTCATAGCAAGCGGCGGAGTTGCGCTGCTTTCTGAAGGCTTCAATATCAAAGAATAGTGGAGAAGAAAAGACATCTCATCTGAACAGTTGCTGTGTGGGCGGAAGCTCTCGGTAGATGAATGTGAGGGATGTAATGTGGGGGGACATCGCACGGATCAAGCCAAAACAAGCCTTTGTGCTGTTATACATTCAGCAACTTGGAACAGCAAAACATTTAACATAAAAATTTAAGGGGAGCAAAAAGTGACGTAAACACGACTGCATAGAAAACATTTATTTATTTTTACCATAATCAAGGTTTGTACAGGGTGCTTGAAATCCTTGACAATGCTTGAATTTTAACTTTCAAGTTTTGGAAAGGGTTTGATTTCTGTATAAAGKCCTTTAAAAGTGCTTGATATTCTAGCTGCACAGTTTGTAATAAAGAGCACTCRCTCTAACGGTTTGATTAAAAACCTCAATTTGATATTTTTATGTTAAAGGCACAAAATGGAGCAAAATCACCTGATTAAAACACCACCCGCTCTGCCAGCAGCGTTATTTTTCATTTTTATTTTATCGTCGTTTCTCCAGGCAAATCCCATTGACATCGCAGATCTCTTTTTCTTATTGTCCATGTTTTTGGAGTGTGGGGGAAACCGGAGTACCCGGAGAACATGCAAACTCCGCACAGAAAGACYCCAGGTCCAAACCGGGGATCAAACCCGGGATCTTCTTGCTGTGAGGCGTCGGTGCTAACCACTGAGCCGTCGTGCCGCCCATTCATTCGGCATAGCTATGAAGCAAACCTGCTTTGAGCACGTAACTGTCTTGCTAGTTAAGCGGGAGAAAAMGGCATGCCAGGTGGTCGTTTTAATGACCGCTGGCTCTAAAACGCTAAATATAAAAGGTTGAAACAAGGTCCAAATCCTCAAGTAGTTTGAGCCATGATGCAGAAGTAGTGGGAGGGAATCTTAAATTTAAGCTAGCTTACAATTTAGCAGATAAATTACAAATTGATTGTTTGAAGGATGGATCGAGCTAGAGTTTTGTCATCTGCTGCTCTTTAAAATTTGCAGCAACAAAACATTTTATTGAAAACACTAGTAAAGGTGTTTAGCTAATGGTTTCAGTTATGCAAAACGTAGCTTTRGCTCGGCAGTGTCCCATCATTTGTGCTGTGCCCCCGATGTCTTTTGGGCTCCTTATGTCATTTCATATTAATACAATAACTTGTTTCACGTAAGGAATGCTGTGTGTGCCGTGGTTATAAAGCTGAATGGGGAAAGAACTGATTGCTCCGAAGTTTGATGCTGGAAATGTTTGATAATTTACCTTGAAAAGTGCTTGAATTTTACAGTGAGAAAAGTGTACGAACCCTGCACAAGTTTTATCATGTGTTCCCAACAAGATTAGACTTGGATCATTTCATTTTGTAAGACGGTGCCTGCTTTTTAAATTTTTTTTGTAGATTTTGTCCCTATTTTTTTAAACATAACTTGATATCGTTCCCTGTCACTGCTTCAGTAATGTGTTAAAAGATGTTTCTTCCATCTAAAGTGACTTGGCAGATTTGTGTAAACAAACAGCTCCGGGGGTCTAAATGTCAGGACAGCTCAGAATGACCATCTGGAGAATTTGCATCTGTTTTCAAGCCGAGACCCCAGACTGACACATAATTATCACGTCTGTTAACTTGTACAGAGCTGTTTATYGGAGGATGGCAAATAATATTTTTACAACTCTCCATCCTCTCTAGGCGGACACTTTGAAAGAGAGATACCAGAAGATCGGAGACACCAAGCGAGCGACGCCTATTGAAGTTCTTTGTGAAAGCTTCCCTGGTCAGTTGAAGCAGTCGGTGTTTATTTTATGGTTTTGTTGCTTTTTAATCTTATTTGACATCCTGTTCTTTTTTGCGACAGAAGAGATGGCCACTTACCTGCGCTATGTGAGGAGGCTGGACTTCTTTGAGAAGCCAGATTATGATTATTTGAGGAAGCTTTTTACTGATCTGTTCGACAGGAACGGCTACATCTTTGACTATGAGTACGACTGGGTYGGCAAGTCTCTCGTGAGTGGACTTCATGTTTTAACCTCACATTTCCTGTTGAAATTATTAGGTGTCATGGTTAAAGTTGATTTTTTGTTGTCAGAAGTGCATATTTTCTGTAATTTTTTGTTGTTTTGTTTCTTGCAGCCCACACCAATAGGCCCTATCCCCAGCGACACACCTCTGCAGCCCAAAGTACAACAGCCGAAAAACCAGGTGAGATCATCAACTCTAACCACACCCACTCTGCGCGCTCAGCTGACCGACCGCTCAGCCAACCCAGTCGTTCGAGTTTCTCTACCGGACCAGTTTTTAGTGTTTCACTGTGGGAAAACTTCCTGGAAAGAAATGACTGCTATTTCCTGTTCCTGTTCTAAGCGATGATCTCAGATCTCCTCAAAGATTTTACCAGAACCAACCTTTCCAACAACGCCCCACCTAAAAAAAAAAAACAAACAAAAAAAAAAAAAAACTGACATGCGTGAAGGTGATTCTTCTGCTTCAGCTGGAAAACAACAAAAGCAAAAAGTTTATGGCCTAATATAATTTTTGACACCATGCCACTCTAAGCGCCAGTCATTGCGTGCATGAGGTGAAAATGCAAACTGCATTGTTCATACCAGTGATGACAAACTTAGTGTGTGCCAAAATGTACTTTTTTATTTTAAATGGCATGCTATCCGAGCCTTGTTTTGTGTAGGGAAGACTACTTGGTTAATTTTAATATAGAGAACATTAATTTTGCCTGATTGACAGAAATATTAATCCAGACAAGGCCGTTGTACTGACTCATCATTTCTCGTAAAGCTGAAGAGGGGAGGGCATTTTTTTATTTTATGGCAGACTTATTACAGTGGACTCTAGCCTTTTTTTACAGCTCTCCATTTAATGTGATTGGCTTGGTAACAACTTGCCATCTTTGTAACGCTGCCAAAGCACTTCCTTGTGTACCRTGTGCGTTGGTCGTGACATAAAGCAGTCCAGCGTTTGTGCCCGCTGTCTGTTCTAAGAAGAGCAAATGTTTGTAATGGAAGGTTTTAAACCACCCTTCTGGTAAATCGAGCAGATAATGCGTCTCGATTTCACTGAGACGATCAAGGCTGGTTCCTTTTTTTTTTCTTTTTTTTTCTGCATGACTTTATTAGTGTGTTGATCTGTGCTTCAYATAAATTTTTGCTTCCTTTTACTCCTCTAACATAGTTTGTCTTAACAAGCCTGCTTCTGCTTGGGAGATGTCTTCTATAATTTTTTTTGTTTCTTTTTTTTATTCACTCCCCTCCCCCCTTCTTTCTTGTTGCCTCTTTCATCTCTTCCCTTCACCAAATTCACCTCTGACCCCTCACCTCACCTGCACCCCCCCTCCACCTTCCTGTTTTCATCACTTCCTGCCCACCTGCCTCAAACCCCCCTTTTTTTGCTCTTTGTGTCAAGTCACCTGAGCCCAAAGGAAGTGAGTCTCAGCCCACTCCCGTGACCAATAAGGAGACTCTGGGGTCGCACCTCACAGCTGAGCGGCTGGGGGGCTCTGTTCAGGTACCACTGCTGCTTCTGCTGCTGCTCTGATGGCTAATGCATGATTCCATGTGATTTTTTTAAATATTTTTATTTAGTTAATTTTTTTGTGAACAACCCTTCCTTCCTCACAAACTCCACATCGCCTGCCTGTCAGATCCCACATTTGTTTCTCGTGCGTTTTGCATCCTTTGAACGTGTGTTTGCCGGAGCTCTGCATGTTGCTCGTCTGCTTGTAGGCTGCTTGCAGTGAAGGCCGTACAGAGATGACATCCAGCAGTATGCTAATCTTTTAGTTATTTTCTTTTTAAGAGAGAAACACCGAGATGCCATAAGCAGCTGAGTAGATTTTGTTGCTGTAGTGTTTGTCAGTGAAGCAACATTTTTTTTTCTGTTTTATGCACTTGAAGCCAAAACATGAAGTGACAGTTAAAAAAAATAAAGTGGAGCAAACCTGCCACCTGTTGTCAGCACTTAGAACTGCAGCTTTTAAAGGGCAGATTTGTGTTTTTGTGTCTTCTGCAAAAGCCAAAAACAGGTTTTCCTTGTTGTTCCTCTTGCTCACACCAGCCATCATTCTGATTTCCCTTTTTTTCAATTAGGCTGATACTTTCTCCTTTTTTATTAGTTTCAAACAAAAGTTTCATAGAGGAATCACTGCAGCAAGTAAAACCTCATTCATATGTAGGCCTAACTTGGTTTTTAGAAAGAAAATATGTGAAATGAACACATCTACARTGCGATGCAGTCCACGTTAGACCAGTGGTTCCCAAAGTTGGGGTCAGGACCCACAGTAKGGTCCTGAAACATCAAGGTGGGGTCCTGAAATTATTTTCTGAATTAATTACACTGAAAATGACAACTAAGAATTTTATTTTGCCTTTGTTTTTACAAAAAAATAAGATTAGTGTACTTAAAATGACAAAAATAGCCTAATAAATAATGTTACTATGCTCTTGTTTATTTAACTTGAAAACTATGTTTATCAACCGACAACAGCTTGGGGCACARGTCTCTGCTGCTGGTATTTTGTGGGTCAAAAGCTGAAAAGTTTGGGAACCACTGGGTTGGACGACGATCTACGCCGAGAGGTTTTTGTATCTGGAGACGTTTCATATGAACGCTCCGCCTCGGCTCAGATGGCGTGTGTTTCAGAGGTGTTGGTGTTCTCTTAACCGTGCAGGTGATACCCTCGACGAACGGCGAGCTGAACACGGACGATCCCACAGCCGGACACTCCAACGCTCCCATCACTGCTCCCACCGAGGTTGAAGTGGCCGACGAACCCAAGTACGAACCGAAYAGAAGTCCAGTTCAGTGCTGTTTGCTGCTGAGTTTAGATTCAACAGGAACTCATCTTGTGTTTGAAGTACAAAGTTAAACGTTTTATTCAGATTTTAGTTAAACACAATTTTTATTTATTTAATCAGGATAGTGCACATTAATGAACAATCTCATACCTCTGTATCGACCGTAAATGAGCCAGATTATAGCATAGTTGATAATTTACATCTCTAGTCCTGAGACAAGAAGACAAAACACACAACACAAGATCACTAAGTAAAATATCAAACAAAATCCAGACACATATTCCAGGGTTCCTGCAGATCCTTAATTCTTAAAAAGCATTGAATTCATCAATCCAAAAATAAGGCCTTAATTAGCCTTAAAATGTCTTAAATCAATCTTTCAGAAGTCTTAAAAATGTTAACACATCATAAATAGGATGATTGTAATTCATCTCAAATATTAAAATAATTGGTAAAAGTTATTTTTTAAATATTCACATGCAGACATTCCCTTTACATCACTTCCTGTTATTTCACATGCAAATATCTCAACAACTGTCCATCTGAGCAATGTGAAATTAATTTTGTAATATCTTAATAATGTCGTCTTTCCAAAAATGCATTCATATCTTTTACAAAAAATTGATGTCACGGGGACTTTAAGGTTTCATCTACAGCAATTTGGGGTTAAGACCCCACTGTGGGTCCTAAAACTCCAAATTTTGGGTTGTTAGAGGATTTCCTGAAATTAAATTAAGTTTAAAACTGACAGCCAAGAACGTTTCTGCTATAGTTAGATATGAATAATAATAATTGGTCTATTAGCAATATTTATATACTTCAACCAAAAAT